CCCAATTAATAAGGCAAATCTGAAACCGGGTGTTACAGTCGCCAGGTCCAAAAAATCTAAGATATTCGTGAAACTTCTTAATGGCAGTCCACACCAATTGAGAATCCACTCATGGATGGTCCGGACAAACTCACAATGTAGCAAGAGATAATCAACTGTTTCCAGACACATATTAGAAGGTGGACACAACTGACTTTGACTATAAACACCTCGACCTGCCAATGCAACAACCACCGGAATACAGCCCATTGAAGCTCGCCACACAAAACATGTAACATCCGGATTTCCAGGTATTATGTTTGATCATTTATTCTTTTGAGTAAAAGGGAGGGACTCGACGAGTTGAGGCGTAGACTCGTCGAGTAGGAGCGCGTGTGCTGACTGGATTAATGACCGGACTCGACGAGTCAGAAAGGGTGGACTCGACGAGTCCGCGCTGTAATTTGAAACCCTAATTCTCGGGGTCTGTGCCCTATTTAAAGGCCTTTATGGCCTCCATTTGCAGCCACTTCATCCCAGAGAAACCCTAGAGAGAGCAGTAGGAGAGTTTGAGAGCAAGAAGAGGTTAATACATCACTTTTGGTGTAGTTTTGCTAGAAGGAAGAAGGAAACACCAATCTAGAGCGTGAAGGGGGCTTGGATCTGGGCTAATCATCTTGAGATTTCATCTCTGGAGGTATAATCCTTTCTATTTCATGTTGATATGATAGATTTCATGATTTTAGGGTTTTTACCTCCATTTTATGTAAGATCTAGTGAGTATGAGGTCTCCTTTGTGCTAATAGCATCAGATCTGGACCATGAAAGGTCCATAGAGTCACTATCCCTCAGCTTTATGCAAGCAAATGAGAGATTGGAGACTAGGTTGCCATTTTTAGAGTCATTTCTCCATTTGTGACTTGATGTGGGTTGCATGCACGTAAAGGTTGCACCTTTACGTGACATTTGAGCACTTGAAGGGTAGATCTGATAGTTAGGGAAGCAGATCTGACCTTAGAAGGTCATTTGAGTATGAACATGGAAGCAACTCGTCGAGTCCATAAGTGGACTCGACGATTCGAGTCGGGGTTGCCCCGCGATTCGTGACAGGAGAAACCCGTCGAGTGGAAGGATGACTCGACGAGCCAAGAGAGGCTAGAAGGATTCAGAGGACCCGCATGGACTCGCCGAGTCGCCCATGTGCACTCGACGAGTCGGGTCAAAGTTTGACCGTTGACTTTCGTTGACCTTAGGGTTCTGATCAAGACTGATTCAAGAGAGTTCAGGGAGGGGTAGAACGGCCTTCTACCCAATCTTTTAGAGATGAGACTATGAGAGAGTATTGATCGGGGATGTTATTTGAATGATAGGAGGAGGCTAGGTCGGGACGTTGAGCACGAGGGTTATCCGACTTCATCGAGGTGAGTCTTCTCACTATATTGTACCTGGAAGGGTACCTATGTGTGACCGGACGGTCTTGTATGCTATGAGATGTATGTGTTATATGCGGTTATGTGATGTGTGTGTGCTATGTATGTTATGTATGGTAAGGACCGGAAGGTCAAGATGATATGGACCGGAATGTCAAGAGGTTACGGACCGGAAGGTCGATACGGGTAGGACCGGAAGGTCTACCGGGATTCGGGACGGAAGTCCCCTGAGACACATGGATCGGAAGATCCTACAGAGTTATGGCCTGGAAAGGCGTATGTGTTGTATGTGGTATTTTGGGGAACTCACTAAGCATTTATGCTTACAGTTGTTGTGTTATGTGTTTCAGGTACTAGCGAGGATCGCGGGAAGGCGCCGGCATGATCCGTACACACTCATAGAGATTATGTTTTGAGATTCTGGGATTTGTTTGTTATGATGACATTGGATACAGTTTGTTGATATTGTTTTTGATGATTTAAAAACGAAAAATTGTTTTGAAAATTTACGTTGTTACAAAACACCTTACTTCCAGAGGGATCAATTATTGTTATGAATTTGTAATTAGATAAATTTAAATTACAATCACGTCTTTAATGATTAGTAAGTCAAAGGTAAACTTTTTTTTTTTTGAAAATTGGAATAGGGTAACGGATTCCAAACAAGGAAACAAATAATTCTGCATGAGTATGAGTTTAGCTGGTAAACTCAAGTTTACGTCTGTTAGTTCCTAAAACGCTTTGATTGCTTTAATTTAGGCATCTATCTTGTCACATTTTATCAATTTTTATGTAGTTTTAAATTTTAAATTGGTTGCTTAAGGTTGTTTCTTTTGTCCCACGGTAAGTACTCATGGGACATGTAGGCCTGGAAAGACTAAAAAAAGCTAGTAACAAATGGATTACCACCTAATCTTCATGATTTTTAGTTTGTTAACTTTTAACACATTGTTTAACGCAACCACCTTAAGAAGCAATACTATTTCTTTCCTAAATGAGTAATTTCATAATTTTTTTTACTTAAAAAATATCGAAAAGGTTACGTACCTTTGAGTCACGAAAGACCGACTCATGAACACGTATCTGTCATACACCAAATAATCTTTGCTTAATTATCAGAAACACTTGGTGTTCTAATCAATCACAACTCAACATAGATGTGGTGCTTGTTATGGAACTCAATCTCAATCCGACGCATTCAATACCCAATTCTACTTGATAGACTTATAATATATAGTACAAGCTATATCTACGTTAGGGATGTATATCTTTTATGAAGAAACTTGAGACTAAATATGTCTATAACATCTATTACAGATCAAAATAAATACCCGGAACGCTCACACTCAAACGCCTACATGCATATATAATGTTCAAATACAATATGTCCTCTACAGTAGAATAATTAGGAATCATCATCATAATTCACTAATCAACCTTTTGCTCTTCACTTTCTTTTCTTCAAATAATTTGATAAATGAATCATTAGAGGGCATCAAACAAACAATGTGCACATAGACCTACCTTTTTTTTAGCAAGAGGTATATAGAAACTAAAAATTGTGACCTACCTTTATTATTTTTAGTGAATTACCTTCATATTTTGGAAAAAAAAAAAGTATAAATCAAGATTTTTAAAGTCCATATTTTATATTTCAATAGCCCAAATAAATAATCTATATATTCAAGGTAAAGGTGTACAAACGTTAGTTGTAACCAAAACAAGTTTTTTTAAAAACCGGTTCGGTTTTTAACCAATTTTTTGAGATAGGTTTCGGTTTTAAAAAAAAAAGTATTCGTAATGATATAATTGTGAAAATATATCAATGTATAAGACATCGTCAGGTATTGTAAGAACTTGTTTTTGCTTATACGACCAGAGGCCGGACCCGCAACTAATTTTTTTTATTTTGATTTTATTTTCTATCGATATCATTTAAATAGGGAACCATATGGTTTTAGGTTCTAGACTCGTCATTGATGTTAAGCTCCATAATAGAGTTGCAAAAAGATTTTTATATATCAGTTTTTCTTTTTTTTTAGTATTATTAACATATTTTAGAGTAGTTATGGTTAATATCGAGATAAACTGAATTTTATTTACTCACCGAGACTGGAGGTGCAGAATGCACACTCAAAGTGATAAATGTGAACTCAGGAATACGATGATCTGGGGACATCGCCTACCCAGGGTCTCAAGAGGCAGTGTTGCGTGGTCCAAGGGACAGAGTCCCTAGCTAACCGTGGTTCCGCTTCTGACATCATGATGATGTAATTAGGTGGTTGTGTCTTATAACTACCTTTCTGACCACCAATTTTGGTGCCAAATGGAAGATTAACCGCCTTATAACCACCAACTTCCTTCTATATAAGGAAGATGGAAAATACAATGCAAAGGTTACAATCTGATACTCAAAATTCGATTACTTTGCAATTTTCTATCTCGAAGAACACATCAAATCAAAGGTATTATTTGTTTCTTGATTTGAATTAGGCATGTAGTTCGAATTAGTTTTGTTCTTGGATTATCCCACTTTTGAATTTGTGTACCTAAACAATAGGTATGAATAATAGATTTCGGAAAGCGTTGATAAACACGATCCTAAAAAAAATTATTCAAGTGAATATTGTTATTCTGATTCCCTGAAAATCTAACGGTTTTTGCAAGATGCAACCACCATTTGTTGCTTGAGCCATCAATAACTCCATCTCCTTGGAAAATGACCCCATTGAGATTAGAAAAGTAGAGCCAAATTCTAGGGTTTTTAGGCTCCCAATTTTGGGGCTCATCTGGTGTTCCGTCAATCTGTATCAATATTATACATTGCTTTGACAACTTAAATTTAAAGTTGAAGATGTTTAGAGAAATAATAAAACGGAAACAAAGGTAATTGTTTGTGAAGTATTGAACATTTAGATTTTTTTTAATATCTCATCCATTATGGCATTCAAGTATGAAAATGGTAAATCTTTATATTTTCTGGCATGCAAGTGAAGAGATAAATAAGCAAAGCGATAATGTTTGATTGACATGTAGAAATGGAATAAAATCTCCGTATGATTTTTTTATATGACATGTAAATACAATATATTATTTTAACTATAAAAAAACAAGAATTTAAACATGATTGAAACTTATTAAAACCAATATAAGTTATACTACATTTTTTTTTGTTATTTCCAAAATACAAAACTTTGATTAACTAAAACAATAAAAAAATCTAACAAAATTATGTATTTTATAAATAATAATGGATTATATTTTCATTCCATTCCATGACGGTATAAAAAAAAAAACACCCCCTGCATCAGGGATGAAAATTAACAAAATAGAATAGTTCATTCAGTTCCATTTTATTTTTGCAAAAGAATAGATTTTTTTCATTCCAATGGAATGAACCATTCCATTCCTTACCTGATTCCATCATACCAAACACTACCTAAATGTTAACCATTTCTCAAATATCTCATATGCCCTCTAATAAAGGATAAAATAAAGGAATCCAGGGGTTCACAAACACCAAGACAAAAGAATGAAACGTATATCTATTATGAAGAATTATTTGACTACATATGTATATAACATCTATGACTATATACACTCATTACAACTCAAAATAAACACCCAAAACCACTCACAAAGTCACAATCACATCACATGACACTAAAATGCCTCGGGTAATGTTCATATACAAAATGACCTCTAGAATAACATCTATATACACACACACTCATCAGTCATCACAACTCAACACATACATACTCATTACAATATATAGATTGTTAACACATAATTAAAGTTCACTATGAATCAACCTGTGACTCTTGAGGAGTTCATCTTGTTGAAACAGGTTAATGAATGAGTCAGAGTCATTGTTAGACTGTGTCAAACAGTCTGCAGATGGTTGCACATACCCATACTTAAACCCCTTAACCGAGTTGCAGAAAGTTTGAGCTGCTTTCCCATCACTTCTCTTCAAATAGATGTTATTCAGAACAATGTGGTTGCAGGGAACCGTGTCACTGCATGCAAACTTCATTGCATTTTGACTCTTTGATGTCCCACTTATGTCCTCAAACATAACCTGACTTATCTCCACAGCCGATGTCTGTTATTAGAAAAAAAAAAAGACGATTATACCCTTGGAAACACTTGTTTTTGTTGTGTGAAAGATGATAGACTACGTAAACACTGACCTGATTTTTACAACTTTTAGGTGAATCACAGTAAAACTGATCAATTATTATCGGGTTTTCTACATCTACCATTTGGACATTTTGGTAACGGATGGCTCTAACATAACCAGATCCTCCCTGTCACCAAGGGCAAATAAGTAATTTTACAATGAAAAGAAATGTTTAGTGTTGTATAGTATACCTGCCATGTCTTGATTCTTAGGCCATTTGTAGTGCCTTTAAGAAATGCTGTATCTAAAACTACTGCTGTCACAAAGCCTGTTGAGTTATCTTTTCCAAGGCTTCCTATACTGTAATAACATAAATTTTGTAAAATCAATAAAAGATTGTGTGGGAAAACGAATAAAAAAATTTATTTAAAAAAGAACCTGATTCCATGACCGGGCCCACAATATATCGACTCCATCTTGATATTAGAACAACCACTGACAATTGAGATGCAATCATCACCTAAGTATCACATGTCAAACAACATGATTCAGTAACTTTAAATTAAAAAAAAATATAGGAATTTAAAATGCAAAAAAAGAATTAAGAACCTGTTCCAATTTTACAGTTTTGAAGAACTATATTTGTTGATGCAGTAAGATGGATTCCATCAGTGTTTGGACTGTCTTCAGGGGAAGAGACCAAAACATCCAAGATGCGAACAGATTCACATTTGGAAATAGCAAAATTCATTTGTTGGCTGTTTTGGACAGTAATGCCCTTCACCTCTATATTTGAGCTTTGATCAATTGTTAATGCCTGTATCAAGATCCTTCCATTTTAAAACTTCATTCATAAATTTTAAACTAAAAGAAAAAAAAAAATTGGAATTCTTACCGTGGGAGCTCCTACACAAGGCTGTAGAGAATCCAAAAAACAAAAAGTGTTATATATTGGTTAAGTTGGAAAAAATAAGAAAGAAAAAGATTAATTTATACATTTGTCTTGTTCTTTTTGCAAGATGCAGCCCACCATTTCTTTCCTGACCCATCTATAACTCCATCTCCTTGGAAAAGGACGCCTTTGAGATTAGCAAAGTAGAGCCAAATTCTAGGGTTTTTAGGATCCCAGTTTTTGGGCTCATCTGGTGCTACAATTGTTCCATCAATCTGTATCAATATTCAACATTGATATAACAAATTAAATTCAAGAATTAATAAACAAAAAGAAAGCATGTACTAGAATTACCTGAATGATTAGATTTTCAGCACAAGGTCCTTTAAATCTTGTTGCATTAACAAGATAAGTTCGATCAGGAGGAACCAAAAGCACTGCTGTTGCTGTAGAACATGCTTCCTTCCATGCATCTCCAAAGGCCTGTTATGTAACAATACACCAAAATAGAGAGCATCCTATTAATGAGTTGATCAATACACTCAAGAAAGACTATATATATTCATATTCACCTTTGTGTCATCAGAAACTCCATCTCCAACAGCACCAAAGCTATCAACATTCACAAGAACCCTGACACCACGTTCATCACCTGACCATGATGGCAAGTCAGAATCATCTTCTATTTTTAAACTTTTATCCTCAAGCATGTCCAGTGAGTCAGAAAAATTGCTTTCTGCATACTCACAAACCAACAACAGAGACAGAGAAAGAAAATAAATAAATACAAGAGTGCTCATGATTTATAAGTTGTGAATGCTGTTTTTTGATGTGTAGAAATCAAATGAAGACATGATATTTTAATTTATATGTATAGATTAATGCTAAAATGGTCAGTTTTATGGTAATGTATCTGGCTTTGGCTTGGCTTTGAAGTACATGAAGGTGGAAGATTTACCACATGTCCAACACTTCAAGTGTAAGAATATACATTTCCTGGAAATCTTTGCTTCACTCATCAAACATTTTCTTAGTGCATAAATACTTTCCACATGTCAAAAAGACTCCATGCTATTGACCCCTCTCTGGCAGAATGTCAGTTACTCTTTTTCTTAGTGCATAACTACTTGACACTTTTGTGATCTTCCAATTTCGCCAAAACCACTCTGGAAATGATTCCATGTTGCCACATTTCTCTTCTGTAAATCATTAAACAATCTCAAAGTAAAACTGACAACAACCATGCTCATGTAAAGATTAATTAATGCAGTTCCCACGTACGCTATCAAATATGAACCAAGAACAATCAATCATTGTGCTGTGAACTTGAAGTCCTTGATATACATCAGAAACAGTCGAAAACGTAGATGAACTCAACTCTCTTTGGGAAACCATTTGACTGTAGAAGGACAATGTTCCTCTTGAAACCCACGAAATTATTGTGTCCCGTGTAACTGCGTTTCGTATAGGCATTCCGTCGAACAGCTTAAGAGCAGAATCAGTTGATTCTGATTTCATTAAACGCTCAATGTCTCTGTTACAGGTGTAAGCCATGTCTCGTGGATTGGATCGGCAGTAAGGGTCCAATTGGGGGGAAAGAAAAAAAAATAATAATAAACAAGACGTGGTTGGTGCGTTTCGGAGAAACGTAGGAGTGAAGATTGAGATAAGTGGGGCCAGCAACGAGACCAAAATTTTGTTCCCAACATCGTCTTTTTACAGCGATCGTGTAGGAAAATATAGGGTTTGCGTACCAACTTGGATTGTGAGAACACTTTTCGAACTGATATTTCTACTCTATGTCTGGGTTATAAGAAATTCAGCCTAAGATAATCCAAGTGGGCACTTACGATTCTAGGCACAGAAATCGTAAGCCAATTTGCTAGAGAGATTCTGTGAGAGCTTGATGAAAACGAGAGCTAAAATTCGTAACCCTCTTATAAGAAGGAAGAGTCGTTTATATATTAAACGAGATTAGGGTTTTATTAGGGTTGGACCGTCATTAGTTGCTTTGGAAGCAAGTCAGGATAATCCGGATTTAATGAGAATTTTAGGTTATCAAAACGAATGAGTTTTGTTAGTTTTACCATAATCATCCTCAAGAAATTGAATTTTCCACTATGTCCCCAGCCAGGGGCTTTGCCCCTTGGACCCCGCTAGGGGCGCTGCCCCTAGACCCCGCCAAAGGGGCGTTGCCCCTTTGAAAACCCCGGACCCAGGGGCGCTGCCCCCGAACCCCTGACTAGTCGTCGAACCAATTTCTAATTTGATTTTATACATGTGTGCACTCTGCACAACCCCATACATATATTATAATACAAATTATGAAACCCTTTAGCTCACATGTTAGTTCCAGTTACTTAAAATGACATGGTGACACTAAAATCACCAACAAATCGATATGGGGCATTTGTGCTCCCGTTATGGGTGAGGTGGCGCCATAACGTCTTAACGTCGGCTACACCACCCCCAAACTCGTTTTGGTGATCTCGGGTTGTAACGAGGACGACATAAAACGGCTAATTTGATTGGCTAATTTGTTTTTGAACGTTATTTGTGACCGTTTAACCCAACAATATTTAGAAAAAGATTATTTTTTTTTACCTATAAAGACATAATATCTATCCTTTTCAATTCACACAACTCTTCTATTTTCTTTATATTCTATATAATTTCAAAACTTTTCAAAAAAAAAACTATTGATCCTTTCGATTCGTCCGATGATGATATATTCATCACTATGATGTATCGGTATTGCACCAACGAGCTATTACAACCAGACCCGACCCCTCCACTAACAAGACATGTGATGTTAAACAGAAATCGCGAAAAAGGACACGAACGTCTATATCGTGATTACTTTGCGGATAATTGTGTCTGCGGGTCAAAGGAGTTCAAAAGAAGATTTCGTTTAAGTAGGAACGAGTTTCTACGGATCGCCAACGCCTTGGAAAACATGTATCGTTTTTCTTTAATTCTAATACATATTTTTAATACATATTTACTGTATTTTTAATACATATTTTTAATCCATATTTACTATATTTTTAATATATAATTAATATATGTTTAGGTATACATTTTTCCAATTGAGGTATGATGCTAGAGGTAGACGAGGATTCATAATGTTGCAGAAATGTGTTGTGGCCATTTGTTTGAGGCTATGGGGGAGTCACCTGATACCATGGACGGTTATATGAGAATGTATGAAAGAATTCAAATGAAAAGTTTGTATAGATTTGTCAAAAGGTGTTGTTGAAAGATTCAGAGACGTATATTTGCGGAAACCTTTGTTGCATGATATGCAAGAACTGTATGCGGCACATGGGTTTCCCGGAATGCTTGGAAACATTGATTGTACACACTAGAAATGAAAAAAAAAAGTGTCTAATAGCATGGAAAATGCAATATGCAAGTGATCATCATGGATCGCCTTCGTTAGTACTAGAGGCTATTTTGTTTCCCAAGATTTATGGATTTGACATGCATTTTTCGAGGTTGCGGGTTCCAATAACGATGTCAACGTTCTTGATCAATCACCAATATTCAACGATCTTTTGTCAGGAAATACATCGGATGCTTCTTTCACAGTTATTGGAAATGAATACAAGTTTGGGTATTACCTTACGGATAGAAATATATTATGTATATTCGACATTCGTGAAGGCATTTTGACACCCGGTTGAACCAAAAGATAAATTATTCAAGAGAATACAAAGAAGGAGCATGTAAGGATGTGGAACGTGCTTTTGAAGTTCTAAATTCGAAATGACACATAGTTGAACATGCGACACGACCATTAGACTTAGAAACTCTACGATATATTATGTATGTGTGTATCAGAATGCATAACATGGTAGTAGAAGATAGAAGATGAGATATTGCACACTATATTCCAACGGAGTCCATACACAATCAATTTCAATCAGAAACAGTAGAATATTTATACATAGTCATTAATATTCAATATGCAAATAAACACAGACAACTTCGAAAAGACTTGGCGGATAATATCTACGACAGGAACAATGATGAATAGCATCGTTTAGGAAAAATAAATTATGTATTTTTTTTTTTGGGAAATCTCCAGAAAAGTCTCAATATTTACAGAAAAATTACACTTTAGTCCCAGGATTTTTTTTTTTGAACAAAAAAGTCCTGAAAACCGGCAAAAATTTGCAGTTTGACCATTTTTGACCTGTTGAAACCAGTGCTAAATTAATTTGGGACTATTTCGTAAACTAACCCAAAATATTGGGACTTTTCTGTAAAAAAAATATTATGACTTTTCTGTAAACAAAAATATTAGGACTTTTCTGCAAACAAAACCCTTATTATTATTATTATTATTATTATTATTATTATTATTATTATTATTATTATTATTATTATTATTATTATTAAAAATATAAATAATAATACTATTTTTTGAACTTGTATTATTAATATTGTTAATAAAACATATAAATGCATTTAAATGAAAAAAGAATGACATTGTTTAAGGGTGGAGGTGGAGGAGATGTTGATGCTTTTAGCATTGAAATCATGAATTTCTGCTTGTATATTTTTACTTTGTATATGGTTATTTCACATTTGTTATTATTGTTTTCAATTCTGAATATTAGTAATTAACAATTTAAAAGAAATTGCATATTTGTAAAATTGTTTATAAATAGTTTAAGGTAGAAGGATTTCTCAGTTTATATATAAAAATTGCTTAAGGTAGAATGATTACTTTCCAAATCCAACAGATCCACTACAAACATCTACATATATAGGTAGCCCATATCAAAATTCAAAAGTATTAATTACAATATATTGTTTAATAAAAAGTAATAGGATATGTTTTTTGGATTAATACTTTTGAATTTTGATTAATACTTTTGAATTATTCCTATTACTTTTATTAAACAAGATATTGTAATTAATACTTTTGAATTTTGATATGGACTACCTATGTAGATGTTTGTAGTTGATCTGTTGGATTTGGAAAATAATCCTTCTATTATTTTTGTTTACAGAAAGTCCTAATATTTTGGGTTAGTTTACGAAATAGTCCCAAATTAATTTGGTACCGGTTTCAACCGGTCAAAAAGGGTCAAACTGTAAATTTTTGCCGATTTTCAGGACTTTTTCGTTCAAAAAAAAATCTTGAGACTAAAGTGTAACTTTTCCGTAAATATTGAGACTTTTCTGACAATTTCTCTTTTTTGTCTTGTAAAGTTTTTTTTTTTAATTTGGATGTTATGTCTAATTTAAATGTTACGTTTTTTTTAAGTTTATAAATGTTATGTTTTGATAAAATATATATCTTTTAATAAAAAAAACTCGAAAAAAATACAATAAAATATGACATAGAAATTAGTGGGTGTTATAACATGTTCTTAACATTGTGGTCATTTCCCCAATTTGTGTTATAACACCATGGATGATATGACACCAAAATGATACTATAACATGTTGCCCATGCCCAATGCTTTTAGTTTTTAGTTTTTAGTATTGTAGTATTGCTAAAATTTATATACATTAAGGCTTCTACATATATAAATTTAAAATTTTGATTTGTGAAAAAAATATATAAAAAATAATTTTATATATTCCTACAATCATACATGCATATAAATAAATATATAAAAAATTAGAAAATTAATATAAAAAACATTTTTTAAAACTGGAAAAATCTTTAAAAAATATGTATAATAAAAAAATGTATAAAAATGTAATATTGTAAATAAAATTTCTAAATACATTAAATTGTAAAAAAAAAATATAGAACATGAAAAAAAAAAGAAGGTAAAAGAAATAGTAAAAAAATAATTTCGTAAGAAAAACTAAGTTTTAAAATGTATATACATAGATAATTTTTTTTTAAATTGGAAATTTTTGTAAAAAGTATTTATACATAATTCATACTAGAAATTAAAACTCGGAGCAAAATCGTAAATAAAACTTCAAAATTTTGTAAAAGATGTTTGAATTGATATTCATAACTAAAATTTAATGTCTGACCCAAAAAAACATGAAATTTTGGATACATAATCAAAGGTTTCTTGATTTCTACAAGATACAATTTATAAATCAACAAAAATATTAGGGTTGAATATGTACAAAAGCGTAATTATGAGCTAAGAAAATTGATCTTAAAAAAAATATATGTTGTTGTTGTTGGGGATCTAACCCAAGTTACCCGTGGTAATGCTATATATCCTTTTTCCTAAAAATGGTCATGTTGTGTACTAACTTATCGAGTGCTCAGGAAGTTGATTTAGCTCTCGGGCATCGCGACTACACCACTCGCTATGCATTTGGTTCACCGAAAAACAACAATTTACCGATGAACCACTGAGCCTATGTCCATTTTCCTAAAAATGTTGACCAACAGAAAATTAAAAAGAGTAAATTACACGAATGGTCCCTATGGTTTAGGGTAATTTGCGCATTTGGTCCCTAACTTATTTTTTTTAACTCGGAAGGTCCCTACTATTTGTTTTTGTTATGCGTTTGGTCTCTGTCTTACCTAAAAACACTATTTTCCCTTGATTTTTTAATTAATTTAAATAAACACACTCCCACCTCCACCCCCATCACCTTATCTTACCTACCACACCATTTTTTTCTATTTAAATAATAGTCTTTTTAGGTAAGACAGGGACCAAACACGTAACAAAAACAAACAGTAGGGACCAAACGCGTAACAAAAACAAACAGTAGGGACCTTCCGAGTTAAAAAAATAAGTTAGGGACCAAACGCACAAATTACCCTAAACCATAGGGACCATTCGTGTAATTACTCAATTAAAAAACTTGATTATTTTTATAACCATATATACACACATATTACATATCAAACACATTCTCACAACACTCTCATGACACACTTTCCATCATGACACACTTTCCATACTCTAATTAATACTTTCAATATTATATCTAAACAATCCGTTTAATTACACCTCTTTGTCATCTACCCGTAACACACCTCCTGGTGCAACTGAAACACCTTTCTTTCGGTTGATGATTTATAAATCATTTTGTATAGTTTTAAAAATAATAAAACGTCTTTTACAAAATTCAGCCTCAAAGTCTTTAAAATTCTCAAAACAGTTTTAGTTTCAAAGAGGTTTTAGAAAAAGGTTAATCAATTTAGAATATCATTGTAACATCTTTAATTTCAAATCAAAATTTTCGTTTGCAAGAGTAAAATGTAAAGATTAAACTTCGTACCCAAAAGTAATATAAAAAACTCATTTATGCAACATTATAGACCTGTCCAAAACTGATCCTTTTTGTTCATGTCTACTTATTATACATGAAAAACCAATTTATCTTTTTACTAATATTTAACAATATAAAACCATATTAAAACCATAAGGGTCGTAACCTCATTTTTCCTTTTTAATAACTACTCACACACATACCAATTTACTTTGTACCATGGTCATTTTTTGTCATTTTATATGTATAAGTAAATATTACAAACACTACAAATCAACTTATCAACTTATTGCGTTTTAGTATCACATAAGTTAATCCAAACACTTTTTCCTAAACTCCGTTTTAAAACCGTTAATAAACACTTAAAAAAAAATTATAAGTTGTTTTACATAAAGTTACAAACAAAATCCAAACACCCGCTAAAGTTTTAGTTTGTACACAAATCCAGATTTGACTAAATACCCATTTAAGTCATCTTATATGACTTTAACCGAAAGTCAACCTTTCACATGTCAAAAACTGTGGCAAAATGTCATTTTAAATTTCTTCTTTTGACCCGTCTCAGAGAATGTACAAGATCCTTTAAACTTTCTTCATCAACTCATTCACCAATTAGCTTCCTATCGATTTAACATGTCCAAACTTGGAATAACTATTGAGTAAAGAACAGGATACTGCAAGATGATGATCAAAACCGGATTTCACAGCACAATTATGCAATAATTTACAGTTTGTCAAGCTACCAAAACATGACTTTGACAATGCATTAAATGTGGTTGATAGGCTAACTTCATCAAACCCAATGCCTTCATCAACCATCAATCCAAACAATTCAATCACATCTTCAACAACACCACACTTTGCAAATGATGTCATCAAGGAATTGCATACCTCGAGAGTTTTTACAGGGACGTTTTCGTAAATTGACACCGAGCTTTCGATTTCACCACATTTTCCATACATATCGATTAAAGCAGATTGAATGTAAATACTGCCATGATCAAACCCCAGTTTCAAGACAAAACAATGAACTTGTTTCCCAAGGAGAATATTTGAACTCCCACTAGATAGATTTAATAAGCTAACAAATGAACGAATTGATGGTTTTTTACCACATGTTTGCATTGTAGAAAAGATTTCAAGAGCATTGCTTGCAAGCCCATTATATGCGTACACAGAAACTAATGAATTCCAAGAAATCACATCGTTTGTTGGAATGATTTGAAATGATCTTTTGGCATCTGTTAGAATCCCACAAGCACTATAAAAATCCACCAAAGCATTTGAAACAAACAATTCTGATTCACCCCATCCCACCTTAATTGCATAAGAATGGAGCTCTTTTCCTTCATTAATCAACTTTTCGTTGCCAAATCCATGGATCAGATAACAAAAGGTGAGTGGATTTGGCACGATACCTTCACTTTTCATCCTATAATACAATTCTAACTTTTGTGATCTTCCAAATACACGAAAACCTCTCAGCAACTGATTCCATGTTGCGATGTTCCTCTCTGGTAGATCGTTAAATAATCTGAAAGCAAAACTGACGAGACCCATGTTCATGTAAAGATCAATCAATGAAGTTCCCACATACACATTCAAACTCAAACCAAGAACGATCGCCCTGCTGTGAACTTGAAGTCCTTCTGGGTATAACCCTTCATCGCTAAATACACCCAAAACAGTCGAAAATGTAGATGAACTCTCGATAAATCCTTGGGAAACCATTTGAGTGTAGAAGTACATTGCTTCTCGTGAATACCCATTACGCTTATGTCCCGAAATAATTAAGTTCCATGTAACTGCGTCTCGTATAGGCATTCCGTCGAACAGTTTAAGTGCGGAATCAATCGATCCTAATTCCATATATCGCTGAATGTCTCTGTTACAAGTGTAAACTGTGTCCCGGGTATTGGGTTGGAAGTAAGTGTCGAATTGGGAGGGAAAGAAAATGGGCGTGGTTGATGCGTTTCTGAGAAACGTAGGAGTGAAGGTTGGGATGAGTGGGGCAACGGAGACCAAAATTTTCTTCCGCATTTGTGGAGTTTCCTGGTTGCAGTCTGGGCTTTTTTTTAGTTTAGAAAATATGTACCGATTATACGGAAATTACATACATCAAATTTAGACAAAATTGCGAAAATGGTCTGTCAAAATTAAGTGGATTTTGTCCCAAAAAAAAGTTTGGTGGTGCATAACTCGTCCAATTTCGGATCTTTTTAGTGATTTTGGTCCCTACACATTTAAAAAGACGAATATGTCCTTATAATTTATATTTTCTATTTTTTTAATTGCTGAAATACATAAATTAATTTGAATTTTTTTTAACTTAAAACAAAAAAATAAATAAAAGAAAATAACCATAAACCCCTCCCATAGAAGCCCTTTCATCACCAACTCCATCCTCCACCACCGGTGAATGAAACCACCGTCGCCAGACACCATTCTTGTCGGAGTTCCCTCAAGCTTATTCTCATTCTCTCTCTTTTCTCGTATACACTGTTTTCCCATCTCTTTACATTTCTTTTTCCCCAAGATAGCTTTTCATCTTCTCCAGCTTTTCTACGTTCTATCAAAACTCACTAGAAATCTCTCAAATCAACCACCTTTCTTTACTGGAAGATTGATCAATCATCGGAGTACAATCCTCATTCACATACTCGAAGTCCATTGGAACCCTAGCATGATTTTGATTTGTTTGACTAACATTGTCAAACTGCTTTGCCATCGCAACTCTAACCTTTGTGTGTCGTCATCGGAACCCTAGACGTCATCTATCAACGAATGGGAAGGTTTTGCTGCCATTTCTACATCCAGCGAAACCACCAGATCTGCACTCAGCCACCGGATCGCCGCCATCATCGACCTCCTTATGCCCCGATCTGAAACCACTGGGCCTCTTCTCGTCGTTGAAACTAAGGTAACGAAGTTTTAGATCTTGTTGTGGATCTCATTTTAAGGTGTGGTGGGGTGTGATTTAAGAGGAATGGGTGGTCCGGTAGGTGGTGGATCAACAGGTCGGTATTCGACAGGTGGTGGTCCGATAGTTGGAGGTCCGACAGTTGGTCGTCCGGCAGTCGGAGGTCCGACATGTGGTGCTCCAGCGGTGGTAGGGTGATGGTGTTTTTAGAGAGAGAGAGAGAGTGTGTGTGTGTGTGTGTGTGCGTGTAAGAGAGAGTGAGTGAGTGAAGTGAGTGGGTAAGGGTGTACTTTTTTCTTTTTCTTTTTCTTTTTAAATAAAAATAATAAGAAATTAAATAAAAACTAAAAATAATTATATAAGGGCATATTCATCCTTTCAAGTTGGGTGTGGACCAAAACCACACAGAAATGTTAATCACAGGGACCAAAACCACACAAACTATCCAAAATTGGACCAATGATGCACCAATAAACTTTTTTGGACTAAAACTACATAATTTTGACAACCATAAAGACCATTTTTGCAATTTTGTCTCAAGTTTATAAAAAATACAATCTTCTAAAAATAAGAACCAAAAATGAAAATAACCAAAACACAAGGACTAAAGACGGACAAAAGGAAATGTGTTATATACCGTCGAATGAAAATGTATTATATGTGACCCGACTCATACGTAGAAAACATATATAAAAATAAGCACGGAAACATACACAAAGTTTACGTCGAAACGTAAAAGAGATCGAATTTATACCGACACGCATATCAAAAAATACAACTATTTTTTTTTGTTATTGTCACTGTAGCCCAACAATGTTTAGTATATTAGTTTAAATGGTCCCTCATGATTTTTTTTTGCCTTTGAAGGGTACGAACTTGTGTTTTACTGGTTAATTTGGTACCTTTACCCATTTTTGAAGGTTACAGTGCCTTTTCAACTGCTAACTAGGCAGGTGAGTCAACGATGACTCAGTGGTGAGTCGACTCATCATTGCCACGTAAGCCAAAACCTAATTGTCACGAAGATAGAACTAATCCATCAGTTTACATCGGGACGTGAGGGCTTACGAACAGTAACAATGGAGCTTCTTCTTTGTCATTAACGTCATGTACTTCTCCTACGTTCTAATTCCAAAACCAGAATCTTGGAAAGTGTAGGTGAGATTTCCGATGTGGTGGTGGGTGTAAACAGAGAGAAGGGGGTGGCGGAGAAGACAACGGTGGAGCCAACATCAAGGCCACCGCCCTCGATTTCGGTATTCATAGATTTTGTTCTTCTTCCCTTCAAGCATATTACTTGCAGATTGATTAAGTAAATGAAGTTTGTGTAATGCGATTGATGGTTGAAGAAATTCCATGGCTCGATCTTTGAGCTCGATATCACCATGGATTCGAGCAGAATTCATCAATGATTCCCATATTTCAAATGTAGGTTCAAAAGGAATGTTTTCGATGAACTCAAAAGCTTCATTTAGATGCCCAGATTTCCCCAAAACATTAATAACCCCAAAATAATGATCAATTTCTGGATCTAGATTGTAGTCGTTCTTCATTGATTTGAAGTGTTTGAAGCATTCTTGAATTGAATTAACACTGGCACATGCTGAAAAAAGTAATCGGAAAGTCTCATTGTTTGGAGTTAACCCCAGATCTTTCATCTGGTCGTATAACAACAAACCTGCATCGGGTTCCCCGTTATCTGTGTAGCCATTTATCATTGAATGTCATAAGCTTAATTCGTCTTGTTCACGCATTCCGTCGAACACCCTGCATGCATCCCTAATGTTGTTGCATTTTATTTATAGTACTATCAATTTAGAGTTCAAATTCACAAAAACCGTAGTAGGGAGATTGAATAAGAAGCTGCTGAACCTTCTTCCCCAGTTCAAGATCGTCACACGAATCCAAAACATGCTCGAAACATCGGATCCTGCGGGCACACCTTAAGACATTAACTCAATCGTTTCTTTAATCGACTCATTTTTGCATAGCGCCATTAAATCCACATCCGGTGGCGGAAATGGGTTGGCGCGTTTTTGTGTTTTGGGAAGAGTTGGTGGTTTTGTGGATGTGTTGAGTCGGCGATTGTTGTTCAATTCTACCGGAGTCAACATCAGGGCCACCGCCGGAGCCGAAGAAGACAGAGGTGGAGCCGGAGAAGACAACATCAGAGCAGGTGAAGATGAAAGACGGTAAGGTATTTGATCGGATTCAGGTTCTACAGAAAGCATTACATTAGGTGTTATACGTGGCAATTGAGTTGGCATCTAAACCCGGTGATTAGGATGGGTGTAACCGGGTGACCCCTTCAAATTTTCCAAAAGGACCTTTTAAAACCTAAAAATACAAGTTCGTGCCCTTCAAATGCAAAAAATAGTCACGAGAGACCATTTAAACCAATATACTAAAGTTTGTTGGGCTACAACGACAATAACCTTTTTTTTAAATTAACAAACGAAAGGTTTAAATTTAGACAAAAATGAAAATTTGGTCCTTATGGTTTGCAAAAAACTATGGATATGGTCCAAAAAGTTTTCGAATTGCATGAAAGGTCCAAAATCAAAAATTTTCCGTGGTTTGATATTCCCGTAGTTTTGGTCATTGAAAAACCTAAATGGTTTGCCCTTTTAATTTCTTTTTTACATTATTTTTACCTTTTTTTTAATGTTTTATAATTACAAAATTAATATATATATATATATATATATATATATATATATACACCCCACCACTACCCCACCCTACTCCATCATACAATCTCCTCTCTCTCTTTCTCTCTCTCTCTCTCTATATATATATATATATATATATATCTATATATATATATATATATATATATATATATATATATATATATCTTCTTCTTTAAAACCAGCAGCAAAACAAAAACACAAACCCACTTGAAGATTGAGTGTAAGCTTCATTGCAACCCACCATTCCTCAATCCGCGTTTCTTCGTCGGAAAACCCTAAAAAAACCCACCGGTGACTGCCACCCCTAAACTGCAACCAGATCAAAAACACCCATCACACATCGAGAATCGATCTGTCAAAAAACCAACAAAAACTTACCTTAAAAGCTTCAATTCATCTGTAATACAACCAAATCGCCGATGGTGGTCGTGTTATGGCTCTCTGACGTACAGATCTAGTGATTGGACGATGGTGGTAGTGGTGTGGCTCTCCGGTGACCAGATTCTTAGCCTTTGATGAATGATGGTTGGTTTGATTTTCTTAGTTCTTCCTGATTTTAATCTTGATTTCATAAATAGGTCAAGAACAAATCGAGAGGTGCACTCGATTCTCGAAATCCCAGACTTCACTCCTTATACAAAATCCGTCATTATAAAAATCGAAACCCTCACCCCAGATTGGTTGTCGACCATGAAAGTTGCCATCGGTGTAGCGACTCAGTTGGGTAAGCCTTGGGTTCTCGATCCAGCTGTTGTCGGAGCTTCTAGCTTCTGTTTAAAGGCATCTCTAGAATTTGGTCTCTGGGTTTAATGTGAAAGAAGATGAATGTAACATCCCAAAAACCATGATAAAAATTTTCATTTTACAAAACATTTCCACAAAACCATTCGATAGTAAACCATTGTTTTTAAGTCAAATCCATAGAATCAGGGTATCGAACTTCTCTCAAAACATGAACCAGTCTTAGGATGTGTACTATCACGCATTCGTCTTCCCACAATCAACAATGGTACCTGAAAAATATTTATACAATTACGTAAGCACGAAGGTTCATGAGTTCCCCCCAAAATACCCCACACAAAATTACATAAACAATACATGCACACCGGGCCCACAGTATAAAATTGGATTGCCCCTGGGCCCACCGTCTCCCGACTGGATTTCCCCTGGGTCCATAGTCTCCCGGCTGGATTGCCCCCGACCCACAGTCTGGTGACTGGATTGCCTATGGGTCCACAGTCTTCCGGCTGAATTACCCCTGGGTTCACAGTCTCCCGATTGGATTACTAAACACAAAGTCTTATCGCCTCAACCCAACCGCACTATGTCGATGTTAGATGCATTTTATATGCATCTTTTAGCAAAATTTCCTTGGTATTTTGTCATAAAAAGCTAACTAACTCCCGGTTATTATTATGTATTGTGTGTTTCGTGATTATTTTGTAGAATGCCCGTACTGCTCATGTTTGTTATGATTTTTCAGGGCAATTTGGAGCACATGGATGATTACGAGAGTTCGGGATGCGTTGGTGGATGCTTTGGAGCTTAACTGGAGCTTAGACTAGAGAAGGATGCCGAGGAATGATCAAGAACAGCTTGGAAGGAGGAACGACGATCGAAAAGAGACAAAATTAAGTGCATGCAATCGCATACCCCATACATGCGATCGCAGCTTTACCCATGCGATCGCATCGTTGGTCGCAGCTTCGCTTCGTAGTTTTTTCGTGCCAAAAATTCACCAAGATGAGAAAAATTGATACATGCGATCGCAACAACAGTACATGCAATCGCAACCTAGCTTCATGCGATCGCAACTAGGCTAAAATGTATCAAAATGGTAATGTACTTCATTTAAAAGGCTCGGGACGCATTTTCGGTGATACATGCGATCGCAACTTGCATACATGCGATCGCATGCACGAAGTTTTTAATTCTGGACGTATAAATAGAGCCCCACACTTATCCAGTAACCCTAATTGGCGATTCCTGGCGATTCTAAGGCGATTTTCAGAGGGTTTCAAGTGAAGAACGCAGATCTAAAGGAGACGATTCAATTTCTTTTCATTGTTTAGTAAGATTTATCGTTTAGACTTTATTTTCTACTGTTTGTAATCTGTTTTTAGCCATGTCAGGCTAAAAACTCAGATTTCAGTTTCGCAAAGACGTAACCTTTTTGTATGATTAATCATTAAGCACCATGTTTGACTGTGATTACTGTTTAGTTTGATAAATTATGTGTTTAATTGAGTGTTTGATTTTGATTTCAATTTCTGTTGGCCACTTGAATTGTTTGTGAATCATTCTAGTTATCTAATCGTTTAGATCCGTAATTGTCTAGACTAATTGGTAAAAAGTAACGTATATTTAGATTAATTCTGTGTTCAGGGTTAACTCTAATATGAATTGATCAAACAAGTTCTAACGCCTCCGAGCCTATGAGAGGTATTGGACTTTACTGGGAAATTACACTGTGTCTAATGCAACTTTTCTTTGTTAATCAAGAGCTTGTTTGGTTAATCTGGTAAAAAGTCAGATTTAATTCAAAGAACTTATTTTGATTAAATGATTTTTGTAATAGAGGTCATTAGAGCTTGTTAATGAACTTTAGTACCAGTGTAAACAAGTGCACTGTCAAATATTGTGTTGAAGGTTAATTACAAGATCATGGGAGTCACCGCGAAACTGGAATTGCTTTCTCTTATTTGAATTGTTACCACTTTTAAATTCAATTAATCTTTTATCATTTTTGATTTTTATTAGTTTAAATTTTCAGAAATAACCCCCCCCCCCCCCCTTTTATGTTTTGTTCGTTTGTCAAGAATTAGTCTGTGCCTTACGCAAAGAGGCTAAGACTTTAGGACGTGTCCCTGAGGATCCGACCCTCCTTACCCGTATTACATGTTAGTGCAAAAGAGCAGTCTATTTATACTTTTATTTGTTTAAATCGTGCACGAGAGCGGTTTTAACAAATTGGCGTCGTTGCCGGGGACACGGTAAACACTAATAGTTTTATGTCAAGATCTTCACGTACATGTGATCTAATTTTTTATCCAGAGATTGAGAAGACTGATAGGAAGCTAAAGAAGGAGGCAAAACTTCGGAAGCAACAAGCAGGAACCTCAGCCTCCTCCCCCCCCCACATTATAAAACACCCACACCACAAGGCACTCCCTTGTGGAACGAACCCAAAGCCTCATTTCAACCTTTTCCAAAAGCACCACCTACCTCACACGTTAACATCCCGTTCAAAACATACTCCTCATCATCTTCAGACAAACCCGAACTCATAGATTCTTCTGAAACCGAAATAGAATCCATCATGAGCGAAAATAGAGACGATGCTGAAAAGACTCTCCGCGAATGGGCAACACAAGAGGTTACCCAGCAACCTCTGTGTATCACCTTTCCAGAAACTCATAACTTTGAGATCAAGTCCGGTTTAATCCATCTGCTGCCCCCGTTCCGAGGCCTTGAGAATGAAGACCCTCACAAATTTCTCAAGGAATTCTGTGTCATGTGTTCTGGTATGAAACCCCATGCAGTTATTGAAGACCATATCAAACTAAGGGTGTTTCCTTTTTCAGTTCAAGATGCAGTAAAGGAGTGGTTATATAACCTCCCGTCTGGTTCAATAACAAGTTGAAATGAACTTGCCAAACTTTTTCTAGAGAAATATTTTTCTGAGGCGAAAGTGTCAAACATGCGCAGAGAGATTCTTGGTATAAAGCAAGGCAAAAGAGAGGCTCTCCACACTTATTGGGAGCGGTTCAAGAAGTTGCTGGTCTGATGCCCTCAACATGGCATTAGTGATTATCAGCTGTACCAGTGTTTCTGCGAAGGCTTGATACCCATGGAGAGGCGACTTATAAATGCATCAAGTGGAGGGTCACTTTCAGATATGACACCAACAGAGATCTAGACATTGATTGAAAAGTTGGCAAATGAATCTAAGCATTCAGCAACTGAAGAAGAATGGTACCCAGACCAGCCAAGAGGAGTCAAAGAAATAAGTAACGTCCACTTGG